TTTTTTTCTTCCCTTCACAGGCTACTGATCAGTTGCTGAAATTAATGACGGATCCAAAGTAAGTTTGTATAAAAACAAACAAAGTGTCTGTAACATTGTCTGCTAATTGATTTAACACCTCTGTTTGAAGAGGTGTTTTTAGAAATGATCGCTCAGCTAATGACTTCTTTTCTTTAGGCTGAACCCACTGGCTGCAGGCTTGAACCTTGGAGCAAGTTTGAAAGTCGATTCAGCTAATAAAGAAATGGAAGAGGCCATGAAGAGAGTCCGAGAAGCTCAGTCTCTTATTTCTGCTGCAATTGAACCAGGAAGTGGGTGGATTAAAGTCAAGACAGCTTGTTTTTTTTTTTTTTTGGGGGGGGGGTGAATTTGAATTGGTATTTCGATACATATTTTTTTCTATTCTGTTTCTGCAGACAAGGAGAACAAGAAGAAGCGATCCCGCTCTCGTTCAAGGTCAAGAAGGAGGTATTCAAGGTCCCACTCAAGGCACAGGTAGATTCGTAAGTTGATTATGTAAATGGTTGATGTGAAGCCACTTCTCCAGCATTATTTTTTTTTCCGGGTCTGATTCCAGGCGCAGCAGATCAAGGCGACGATCAAGATCAAGAAGCAAGAGACGTTCCCGGAGCCCACGCAAAACACACACTCGTTCCAGAGACCGAGGCAGGAGATCACAAAGTAGATCCAGGTACATTTGTTGTGGGTAAAGCTTGGTTCTGTATTATTGTTGTATTTAAGTGCATTATAAAAGACTCGATCTGTTTATAGAGATAAAAAGAGAGATGACTCTGGAAGGAAGAGATCTAAAACACCACCAAAGAGCTACAGCACAGCCAGGAGGTCACACAGTGTGAGTCGGTGAGTAGAGCAGAATAAGCCAGTTCTGTTTCAAGAACCTGACAGAAGGCTGACCAGTTTGCTCTATTCTACAGAAGGCACAGGAGAAGTCGCAGCAGCAGTCGATCTCCTAAAAAGTCTCCAAAACGTAAAGTCTCCAGGTCTCCATCTCCTCGAAGGTTAGTGTGTGATTAGAAATATGAACCAGTTAATTGAAAAGGCCAGGTACTGATGTAAACAAAAAAAAATCACATTCTCATTTGTGTTTCTTTCTTTTCTCTGTAGACACAAGAAGGAGAAGAAAAGAGATAAAGAACGAGAAAGAGACCGCAAAAGCGAAAAAGAGCATGGACATGAAGAGCGAGAACACACTAGCAGCAAGAAAAAGAAAAGCAAAGACAAGGACAAGGACAAGGAAAAGGAAAAGGAAAAAGACAAAGAGTGGGACAGGAAGTCGGATGGTGATAAAGGAGATATTAAGGTAGGTTCTCATCTCTGACATTCATTTTTCTTGTCACCCATTCTCATTTTGTGACATTTATTTTCGTTTAATTCCACAGATCACCAGGGATTATGATGAAGAGGAACAAGGTTATGACAGCGACAAAGAACGAGAGTACAGGAAGGACTCGGATGACTCTGCTTTTTCCCCTCATTCCCAAGGCAACGGTAGAGCCATGTCATCAAAGCAGACCAAAGTTAACGGTGGTGATGATCACCATGATGACATGGATGTCAGTGACTAAGGAGTTCCTGCTTTTCCTTCAAAAATCACCAATATCTGTTCCCAAATGAATAGTTTTCTTCTGACAAATCTGAAATGTGAAGAGTTTGAAATTTTCACGCTGGATTGTTGTGGTTTTTTGCCTTTATCCTATTTTTTCATCTTATTGTTTATAAAAAAAAAAAACCCTTGTTTTGCCTGTCATTAGCTCAAACTAGGCTCGCTTTGCTTTTCTTGGATTTTGTCTTTTATATTGTACCTTACTTACACCTTTGTCATGTAATGATGTAATGTTAATACAGCCTTCCCCATCCTTTTGTAAACAGTTAATTTACATGCTTACGCTATAGTAAAATGTTGATGTTTTATCAGGGATTTCTTTTTATAATAAAGCTCTGTTGGAGAACAAAATCTAAGGCTCATTTTTTTCAACTTTGATGTTAGTAAATTATAAAATCTCATCAACTTTCTTTTTTTAGTTCTGTAATACTCACATATCCTGGTGCCTTAAGCTTAGACCGCTACCTCCAATACCCTGGACCACACTACGCCTATTTCTTATCTTGATCCCTGGGTTGGCATCAAACCTTGCAGATGCACGTTTCTCTGTCAACTATGTTGCCTTCTCAGGTGGGATACTGCAAAGTTCAAATCTCGTACTCCTCTTCTTGTCAATTAAGTTGAGAGCCTCTTAAGGTTCTATGCCAAGGAAGGAAAGATAGTACGTTTTCAGTGTTATGCTGACAATAACAAGATTTATATGCCATGAAGCGAAATAACACCTACCACATTCAGCCGCTATTCAACTCCTGCGGTTGTGCCTTCAAATAAGTGAAGTATATCCCTCCTCCTGTTAAACATGTATTCTGTATTATATTTTAAAATTAATTTTCCAAAGAATGGTGACCAAACAAACCGTTGATTGTTGTGCAACTTAACAGCTGATCTGAGAACATTCTAGTTTCATATTTCATGAAGCAGAAACTAAATACTGTAGTTTTGTGTACTGATAAACTCCTATTGTGATTTATACAAAGCAGTCAGGTATAACAAGGCTTTAAATGAAGTAAAGGTTCGTCTGTTATTATGTTAAGAGAACATTACAGCGATAATTCTTCAATTTAAATGACTTGAGTGAATAATAAAACTATAATAATAATACTACAAATTTTGTTGAAACATGATGCTGGTGCTTTATTTAAAGGGATGTGAAGTAGGTATGGTTGCAGTACACATCAGCTAAAGCAAAAAAAAAAGAAAAGAAAATGTGATGTATGAGTTTTTCCATGTGGCTATTTTTGGGATATCCAGCAAATATAGTTGTCACAGCTTAGTTTACTCCCCTGAATTAAAAAACAAAATTAAATAAAATGTATTAGCAAAACATCATCAAGGAGAGATTTTTGTAAGCAATAAAAGGTGTTTCAAAGTGTTAGTGTTACAATTCAGTTTTTTTCCTCTTTATCTAACTACCAATAAGTCTGCAGGTAATATAAGAAACCTTCAGAGAATATACCTTGACAACGTGTGTGAACCAGTGGGCCGACAGCCATCACATGCCTCTAAATATACTTCATATCAGTGCAGTATTTAAACAAAGAACAGTTTACCTGATATTTTCCATCTGGGATTCTCTCACATTAGAACGTACGTTAATACAGTACAGCAAATCCATTCACACCGAGCACAAAGTTCGCACTATCACGACGAAGACGTGGAGAAAGACGAGAGGTAACGTGAGCTAACCTGAAAACACAGGAAACTGCGTCCTGCACCGGGAAAAGGCTTCTATACCGAACTGTTAAGAATGGGTTTGATGCTCAACCTTCCCCCAGCTGGTTAAAAACATTCAGAAGTACTGGAAATGTATTGCTACACAGCGTTACTGCCTTTGACTTTTTCTATCTATATTTATATGTATAATACATCATATATAAATGTATGTTAAGCTTAAGTTTAAGGATATAGATATACAGGGTTTTTTTTCTTCCTTTTTTTAAACTCTTAGGTGAGGCGTGTGATATTTACAGATGAGTGTCGACAGAGCTTCAGTGTGTTCAAAGGATTCCATGGATGTGAGGTGATGCAAAGTCCGGCCTCAACGTTCTGACAGCTTTCACAGACGACAGCGTCAGCAGCAGCAGTGTGGAGCAGCAGATGTAGCCGCCCAGCAGGTGAGCAGTGGGTGTAATGAAAGCTAAAACAAACTGCCCACGTGCATGTCTTTACACGAGATGGCACTGTAACATCTGCTTGCATTGATCTGCGTTGGATCCCTTAGAGGAAAATGAACAGGAGCCAGTGATACTAATAATACAAAGTGATCAATTAGAACAGCAGCTCAACGAAATGGGATTCCTTATATAACGTTTCACAAATCCCTAACGTGTAAGCTAACTGGTCACTTCCTGTTTTGTATTTCCATGTCAAAGGTCAGGGAAGCGACTGGGATCTTCTTTGTAGTGGGCAGGGATAGAGAAAATTGAACCGTCGAATGTGTCATATCGGAATTCCTGAAAAGTGACAGTAGCAGTGATGGTGGGGAAGACGGGGATGTCTGTGAGGGCGGATGAATGAGAGGAAACAGATTTTGTTTAATGATTTCATTTCATTCACACTCTCAAAAAATGCTTGACCTAGACACAGTAATGTGATGTACGATAAACCTCACCGAGTTTGACCGGAAACCCCGGAGGAAGCTTCATCTGAACAAACTCTCGCAGTTTGTTGAAATGTTTGAAGGGAGCTATGACCTCCAAAACATTCAGTAACCTGCAGGCAGCAGAAAGTGGGTCAGTCTAGTTCTCTTTTATAAGCCCAGTGTGACAGTTAATAACCACCAGCATGAATCAAATCTGGGACACTACAACAAACAAACAAAAAAAACCCAGACTCACAAATAATCCTGACCATTTTGATTATTTTAATGTACTGTCTGATGTACTGTGATTCATTCCAAAATAATTTACCTTATTAAGTGGTTGACAAAATAAAGTCAAAGTTTCTAGATCAAAAGGTGGGGGCTGTGCGAGTATGAAATTACATTAAAACCCCATTAGTGACGATGAAAGAGGAGAGTTTTATTGTCAACCCCATTAGGGTTGGTTCAACAGAAGAGATAAATCAATATGCTACATTACCTCACGCTACTGCCTGTGACCTATTATCAAACACATTTTGTATAAATCCTCTCTCCACCAAAGTCGATCCTTACAATTCATTTTTGTTGAAAATCTTTGGAAATCCTTGGAAAAAGCGCAAAAATGACTACCTGTACTTTCTTAAACAGTCATTCTCCATGAACATATTTTGCACACAACTGTATTATGATTGGTTTCAGTTCTATAACGTCAGGAAATCTGACTATAAAACCTTATTTGAAGCTAAATTCTAAACACTGGATAAATGTAATTTTCAGCTGAGCTTTGAGGCTACTGTGCTGGAGCAGTTGAAACACCCATTCATCAAGACCTTGTGTTTACCTGGCCTTTACTATATGAAGTGAAATATTTAATCTCTGCACCAACCATTCCCATGATCCAAGTGTATTTAAGTGTAACATCCTACTCATACTGTGAGAAGGAAAGGATGCACTTACGACTCGATGCCCAGAGGGAAATCCTGGCTCATGGCTACAGTAGCTTTGAAGTTCTTCTTGTTCTCTTTGCACATGAGCTCCCTTCCAAGATGCGGTGGCCTAGAGGTTGGAGGAAATAAAAGATAAAGACACAAAGAGTGTGTTAATAGACCATAGTATTTCACATGGATTTACAATTCACATTTCACAGCAATCCTGCATTAATTGTTAATTGCATTAAGAAAAAAAAAAAGACAGAAAATCCCAGCTCCTTACTTTCCATGCTCTGCAGTGATGTACTCTTCCCATGAAATAGTGTTGGGAGCTGGAGCTACAAGAGACTGTCTCCTCACAGGCTGCAGAAAAAAATGTATTATGAGCTATGTAGTGGCTCAAAATCAACACAGGTTCTATAGCTCCTATTAGGAGTAAATCAATGGCCTCCCCACCTCAAAGTTCTGTTCACAGATGCTGCCCCCTTTACTTAAGCTCTCCATGATGGCTTTGTTCCTCAGGATGTCTTCCTCACTGAGGTGCTCTCGCCGCTTTCTTGACTCCAGGACAAGGCCGTTCACTGAATAGAAGTCGGCCAGGAAGTTTCCAACTTTCTCCTTTGACAACGGCAAGTTGACTTCAATATTTAATTAAACAAACAAACATGGCTACAGAACTAACTGTGTTTCGTCATGAATATCCCAACTTCATTACAAGCCAAGGAAGGTGCATCCCCGCACATATTAAGATTAAATTAGCAGCAACTTAAATTGATTTCATATATTTTTTAAATTTCCTTAAATTCCCCTTGGTTGAGATTCCATTCATGTTAAGCATTAACATAAACCTTACCGTTTTATCCTCTCTGAAAAGCCAACCAATCTGACTGCGGGAGAAAGTGATGGACTTTGTGGACAAAGTGGCAGAGTAGACGTCACTGCTCATCAGAATGTCCACCTCTTCTTCTGTCTCCATCTCTGAGTCCTTTAGTATTTAAAAAAAACATCTTATTTTAGTTTAATCAGGTGACAATACAGCATAAAACAACTTTGGTGAAAGTGTTTCCTCACCTCATGGTGGATTCTTTGGTAAACTTTTGCTTCATTGTCTAGGACTACAAAGGACTGGGACGGTGCAGCATCACCATTAAAAATGAAACTGAGATCGCCGCGCTGACATTTCATGTCAGTGAAGTCTATGAGAGTGGTATCCAGTCTGAATTAAAAGAGAAGGAATAAACAGGTCAGTGGAGATTCTGTCCCACTTTCTAGATCTAAAAGAAGCAACTGACCTGGATGTGTTCAAAGACTCCACACTTAGTAAAACATGATTATCTCATTAACAAAAAATAATTTAACTGGAAAATGTGAGAAAACAATTGTCCAAAATAACCCAATGTCATGGTTTATGGGTTTGAGAAACACAACATTGTCTCTCTGTAAAAGGTTATATTTGAAGAAACGAAACTTTATTCTTGTTTTTTTTTTATCTTTTACATCCTAATAACTAACCCTATTACCAGTATTTATTACCTTCATTCAGGTTCTTGAAGTCTTACCTGATATTGATGCCCTGCTTGTAAATTTTACATGCATCCGACGGTAGGATCCGGGACAAAAGAGGCACTACGACATGAATAAATTAGTTAGGGTTGGAAAAGTCTTTAACGCGAATCAATAATTTGCCTGTTTTTTTGGGGTGTATTTCCTCTGAGGTTTAATATGTCTAAATAATGTAAGTGCTTATATAAACTGAAAACTTACCCCAGCTCTGAAAATCCCAATGCAGCTCCAGATAAAAGTCACCAAGCTGCAAAAAAGAGAGATAAAAGATCTATCAAAATGACATTCCAAAATATACAACTAAATTTAAAAGAACACTAGACATTGACAAACAATAGAACTCCATGGAGGTACTGTGGGAAATGTGTGGCAGAGACATCAGTGAATGAGAATCCAGCTGTGATCCTCACCTCCCTGAGAGCTTTCAGCAGTTTTGGCCTCTTATCCTCCACACTCTCCCTGGACTGCTGCTTTAACTTCCGCAGTATGGCTGTGACTGAAGAAAGAGTGGAAGATTTATTGCAAGTTCTTCACTCACATTACATGCATTAACATCTGGAAGACAAAGATAAAGGAACGCTTGTCCTAAACAGGACACAACGGACCGTCTCTGGGAATAACATCAAGAGGGACGACAAGATTTTAAACCTCTCTTCTTAAAGTAAATCTCACTATTCAATCTCTTTGCCATATATGTTTGCCCTAATTTTGTTTTTGCTTTTCTGGGTTATGGTGTTTTTATTTGTTGTGTTTTGTCTGAATAAAGATTATTTTACAGCTTGCCTTCTGAGTTAAAACAATTAATTTCAATTACTTTCCTGTATTAACAGACAGCATATGATTCATGTTCCAAATTATGGGCAGTGCCCAGATTAGAGGGCATAAATTGCTTTGTCAGAAATTCACATATTCCCATTAGTAATCACTCAAAGGGGTTTTGTGTTTTAGTTCCATTGGATCTACTCTAGCACTAGGATCCACATTTAAACGCTTAAATCCTCATAGCCAGCATTACAAACCGTTTACTGTAGGGAATTATTGCTTCTCTGTAGAAATAATATAATTAAGTGCTACACGCATCATTTGCAGTGACAGGATTAGCTCAACGCTGATCAATTATTTAATTTAAACCATATGAAACAAACTGTGTCATCATATTTGGCATGTTATCCCAGTTGTCTTTGCCAAGGTGAAAATAGTGGACTGGAGGGAAAAGTGCTGACAAGGCGCTCACTGCCCTCTCACAGCTTGTCACTTTGCACGCGCGCACACACACACACAGTGCTGACATAATGAGCACATGGGTAAAGCAGGAGGTGACGAATGACGACAGGACTGCAGTGTTTAGCGTGAAAGCTCAGACTTTTCTGCATTTGTCCTCTTTACTTAGTGTTATTGCTGTTGTATCCTGTTCAGTCAAAGTCAAGAGAGAACTAAACACTGTCACCAGGAGAGTTTGAGCATCTTTGTGTGTCCTTGCTGCTGGTGTGTGAAGAGGCAACCATCTCCGTTGTGCTTACTCTCATTAACACTTGTAAATGATGTGACCTTCTCAAAGCGGAAATTGTGTCTCATGCACAGAGAGGCAAGACGCATAACAACAAGGGTTGGGAGTCATTTCACACTAATACTGGGCTACTCAACAGTCACAATACAGGGACAGGATGCAATGACAATTTATAATCACATTACTTATGCAGCCTATTTGCACTGAACTGAGACCAGTGTTCTCAATGGAGTCACAAAAAACAGGATGAATTGTTTGTTTGTTCATAGTCTACACCAGAGACATAGCTCTGTCTTCATCTTGTCTCTTCATCTAAGGCATTATGGGGAACACAAAAACATCAAAAGATGAAATGTATCTCAAATGTACCAATATTGCCTTTTAAATGTGAATAAACTCTTTTCAGTATGGTGATATTTTATAAGCAATGTGTGAGCAAAGACCAAAGCATCATTCAGATAAATCAGTGTTTCAGCCAACAGTGTGACGAAATCTCTAAGAAAATAACAGCCACTAGTTCTCTAGCTGAACTGACCAGACAGCACAGCATAGAAGAGAAAACTTACTCATTTGCCTGTCGCCATAACTGATGGCTTCTGCTAGAGGACTCCATCCCTGTGCGTTCTTTATCTTCACAGGAGCATTATGGGCCAGCAGGAGGAGAGCACATTCTATAAAACAAGGATCAAATTGGCTGTGAAATAATCGACCATAGTCTGTACCAGTCTGGATGTTTAAAGGTACAAAAACCAAAAAAAAAATGAAAAAGAAAAACAGTTTGTTTGGTTACAAATTAACTTTACGACATGTCATTTGGCACTATTCTCTAATTTCTGTTCAACTACTGCGGAGGTCAGAGAAGAATTGCTGATCGGTGCAGGAGTATGAACTAACATTCCAACCTGAAGGACCTTTAAGTGAAGATAACTATACTTTACTGTTTAAGAGTACACATTTTCTTTGTTTATTGGAATCAATAAAAAATGAATTTAATTTATTTATTTATTTAACTCAACTTAAACTTAAATTGAATGAAAGTTTGTTTTCACCTTTGTGGCCCAACATCAGTGCAAGGTGAAGAGGTGTATTACCTGGGAAAAGAAACACATCGATATATTTAGTACACACACTCAAAATAATTTAATAAAATTAATTATAGCAAAATAAAACAGAAATTATTTATATTGAATGAAACCACTCATAAATAATGGTCATCTGTGGCAAAAGGTCCAAGTTAAAGTCACTATTCATTCCATTTGTTCATAAATGTTATATGTTGTCAAATGTTTGTCCTGTACGTTTTGTTTTAAATCAACTAACCACAAATCTACAACCATTACAAAAATAAGGATATGATAAAATTGTATATAAGAAACCTCTTAGTACAAATTATTCTTAATTATAGTATAAAATATAACAAACAGAATATTTATAAATAAGAAAAAAACATACGAGAATGCAACTTGTGGCGATTAATAATATATAATACATAGAATATAATTTCAATTGATTGCAATATATGGGGCACTGGTAGGACACTCACCGTGTACATCTTTCTGAGAGATGCTGTGGGTCCTGATAAGAGAGGACAGACGACGCACGTCTCCTCTGAAAACACATTCGTGAACAGGAAAGTCGAAGTCGGTGCTTGTTAATATGATGGGGTTCTTGTTGCTGTCCACTGATGACGGGTTGCCGTTGATGTTTTTTGCGTTAAGCTGCTGTTGCTGCTGTAGTGTGGAGGATTTGACCGACTTGTGAAAAGCCTTGTTAGATGTGAAATTGTTACTGGTACCGTTTGAGATGGTCTCGTTTGAGGTCTCGTCATGTGTATCCCTTAATTCTTCGTTTTTGTTGGCCTTGTTATGGTCCTTTCGCATGGTGCGTATCTTCTCACCTGTCATGATGGTGATGATGCCGTACGTTACCGGGTTAACAAATAACTTCAAACTACACCACGCGAAGCAGACAGCACTAAAAAATTGGAAAATTCGTTTTAAACCAAACTCCTTCAATGTATTTATTTGATTACTAGTTATTCTGTGGCGGAGAAATAAATACCACCGCACCTGCTGCTCAGCACTACTGCCAACATTAGCTCCCTGCTAACCCGCAATAAAAATGAATAGGATGGGCGCGGCGACTATATAAAGAAAATAATATCCAGCACAACAGAAAAACACTACGAATTAACACAAGACTTAATAATAGTATACGAAAGTGGAATGACTACATCCTGTCTTGTCCGTAGTTTCTAAGTTAAAGATACAAAAACAAAATTTGCTTTGTGGCAAAGCCAGACCGTACAATGAACCTGCAGAGCTACTGTTAGCAAGATCTTCTCGCGAGATGACATAACAACACCCAGCGTGAACAATTTCGCTTTTGTGGTTGCCAGGAAGTCCAATAAAATCATGTTCTTTTGTAAAAACTTTCTAATATGCCATTCTACACATCCCGCTTTGTTTCAGTCATTTATCTTTTTATATTTTTGTCCAAAATTGATCTATAACATCTTAAGCCTCACTTATGGACCCCCTTATTATTATTATCATTATATACAGTTACATGTATCTGGCAACCCTTACGTCATATTTATGCGACACATACGCTTGAGGATCGGTGTCTTCGCGTTAGTTCCTAGTTTGTTTTTCTTTCGAAAATGTCAGCTTTAAAGAAGGGCAAGAAAATAGTTAATCAGGACGAACTGCGACGCTTGATGAGAGAAAAACAAAGACAAACGACAGACAAAAAGCGCATCGAGTCTCCGTTTGCTAAATACAACAGTGTGGGGCAACTGAGCTGTGTGTTGTGCAGTGTGCAGCTCAAATCCGAGCTACTGTGGCCGGCTCATGTTCTGGGGAAACAGCACAAAGAGAAGGTGGCAGAGCTAAAGGGAGCGAAGACTCAACCAGCGGAAACACAAAACCAAACACTTAAAAGGAAAACATCAAACGTCGAGGACGCGGACGGGAAACGGGCGAAGTCAGCTACTGTATCCGGTCAGTCTGCGTCAGGGTTGCCAGGAGATTTCTTTGAGAAGTCAAAGGATAAAGCAGAGGTTTCTGCTCCAAAATCTGCAAGCTTGAATCTACTTGCAGGAGTTTACGATGATGACGACAATGATAATGAAAAAGACCAGTCAGATCACACAGGAACCACAAACCCACAACCTGAAAAAGCAGAGGCTGCAGGTCTGCCAGTGGATTTCTTTGACAGCTCAATCCCTTCAACACCTGCCATTCCTTCTCACTCAGGATCTGTCCTCAAAGCAAACACACCAGAGAAGAGCACTGAAAAGAAAGAGAACACAGCAGAAGCACTTCCAGAGGGGTTCTTTGATGACCCAGTGACAGATGCCAAGGTGCGCAATGTTGATGCTCCAAAAGATCAAATGGACAAGGAGTGGGAAGAGTTTCAGAAAGAGATCAGACAGGTGAACACCAAATCTGAAGCCATCGTGGCTGAGGACGACGAGGAGGGACGCATTGAACGCCAGATCGATGAAATAGATGAACAGATTGAATGTTACAAGAGGGTGGAGCTGCTGAGAGACAAGCGGGATGTCATTAAAAACAAGTCTTTGTCCACGAAGGAGGAACAAATGGAGACTGTTAACAGTGAGGAGGAAGAAGAGGAGGATGAAGAGGAGCTGTTGGCTCTTTTGTCACGTGACTGGCGAGCTAAAGGGGCATTGGTGTAGATTCCTCAGAGATGCTAAGATGTTGTATGATCTTTCATGTTATTTTTTTTTACTACTCAGATTCTATAAATATGTTTGTTAAAGACCTTCAGTTTGTCATATCTGTAAATTTCAGAACTTTAAAAATTACAATGTCATGTGCACCATTCTAGTAAAACATTAAACAACATTACAAGGTCTGACGTGTTTGAAGGTACAGTAAAACTTTAAAACATGTTGACGTTAAGTGACATGTTCTGGTAAAATTTCCCTCACCCCATTCACATCTATGGCCAGGCAAAAGTACAAATCATTTTCATTTAATTTCTATAGAAAAAATAAATAAAAAAAAGCTGAGTCAGGTGACAACTTTTTGTAAGTGTGTTTATTAACTTGTGTCAGCATGGACCTGAAAATTACATCTTCAAAGGCTACTTACAGTTTAAGTTTGACTTATTGTTCTGCAAAAAAAGACGTTTAAATTATTTGTTCATGTTACATTATAAGCAACATGCATATCACAACATCATTTTAAAAATGTAAAATGTCAAGATTATAGGCCTTTGCACACCAGACGGTTTTTGAATCATTTAGATAAATTCCCTTGTTTGTGCACATTGAGCCCATGCAAGTAGATATTGTCTACATAATGCACTTCAATCAAGCAAATTATTAGAATTGATTGTTTTAGGGATCATGTGGTTAATTTCAACTTTCTTGAATATGGCAGCCTGTGTGTTACCTTTTAGTATTTTTTCCAAATAATACAGAAATTTACTACTGAAAAGTGTAGGGCAGACTCAGCTCACAGGATATAGGTGACTATTGTATTAAAGTTTTAGACACTCGCATTTACAAAAAGAGAACACATTAGAATACGTTTTTAAAATTATGTGCCATTCATTTACATTGCTGTTGCAGTAAAAAGCTGCCACCAATACTGTTGGTATGCAAAGGCCCCAAGACCAAAAAGCAAAAATTGTCAAAGCAGTTTCATTTAACAGACGACTGTCAGAGAAAAGATTTATACATTTTTACAGAGTACAGCAATAGTTACTATAACAAACATGTTACATAAATAATGAACCATTACAAGGTCCGTACAACTGGAATAAGACGAATCAAGTAAAGAGTAATGGTCAGTGCTTCTTAAACTACCTGTTTATCATTGTGAGTTAGCTGTGTGTTCCATCTACTGCATTTCTCAATACCACAACATCTACATAATTATCTTATTGCTACATGAGTCTCATGAATTTCCATTAATTTCTCTACTGAGATTCAAAGTGTCCTTAGCCCTTCAAACCTTGTACAAGTAAAAACTTCAACAAAAACAAAACAAAATAAATCCTAGATTTATTACGCTACACAAAAACCCAATCACAGCTTACGGAATAAAAACAACAGCAACATCAACTCTCTAACAAACATTGGAATCAGCTTAGGAAATCAAATTCAAAACATTTTTTAAAGATAAATTAGGGAAAGGTTTAAAACAAATACCGCTCTCAGAACAAGCCTGTTTTTTAGTAGTCATTTGTAAACATTCATACAATGTATGTGTGGAGCTTCTCTATGTTCTGTGTCAGTTGTACTGGGTGTTAATTAAAAAGATCATCTGCAAAATGACATCAATACAGAGGTCCTCCACCTCCAACTGCCGCAACTGCCATGGTCACTGGGCTATTACAATGTTTTACTTTGTTATTCTAATTGGTGATAAGCACTTTATTATTGTAATATCAGCTGCTATATCAACTATGATATTATCTATTTTACAATCCACATAAAGGTGGATATAGTGATGCAGAATTAAAAGAGATTGCTTCCATTCAAACCCTCAACACATTTTGTAAATGTAAGATTCCACATGTGCCTCTTAAATCCATTTCGCACGCGTGTCTGTACCAAATGGTTCAGTATTAATACGCTGATGGTTATAGCCCTGATGCATATTAGAAAATGTACAATGTCTTCTTGTCACAAGTAGAAAACCTGAAACTAGACTAGACAAGACTTTTTGGTAATATGTTCAATATCAGTAATGTGTAAACTGATGTCCCCGATTAAAAATACATGCACTTGTTCAAGGACCTGAATAAATACAGGGTTACACGCCACT